CATCAATGATTTATTGTTAACAAAAAATGGAAGAATTACGTATTTTGTTACACGAATTTTCTGCACAAATCCTGCTATTAGATTATTGGCTACCTTTAATGTAGCACAAACCCCGGCATAAAATTTCCAACACTGGTTTTACGCAATCAGTAAAGAAAATCATTACCAAATGTGGTCGTGAGATTCAAAATATTGGAACACGAAATATTTCTGAGCAAAACTTTCAAATTTAAAAAATCTTGAAAAGAAAATTTGAGACAATTTTTTTTTTAGATTAATAGACTCCCTTTTTAAAGCTGAATTGAATGGTGGTGGTTTTTAAAATCCAATGTGTGGATCACAAAAATTTTAACTTGAGTATAGATGATCTGCACTGTATGTCTAGCCAGTCACCTTGTTGAAACCAAGGGCTATACTGTACAGTTGTGACTGTAAATTTGAACGCTCTTAAATTCATAACATAAGGAAACATATTACTATGTCTACTCTATGTATACACTACTCTATGTCCCAACACCTGAGTCACAAAGTTGTTGCCTGCCTGAGTAGCATCAACACTGTTAAAGTCCTCGTAGATAATGGCTTTCTCCATTTTGCTGCTAAAGATTCTATTGAATGTATCCAATGCAGTTTTTTGTTTGCAAATTTCAGTTTAGTAAACTTCAAAGCTTCATATTCAGTTTCCACTAAGTGATTTGATGCAAAAGTTGGTGGATCAGTTGACATTATAATATTCATTGTAATAATAAGAAATTTTTGTTCTTGTTTCTGATTTTGGTGACTCAATCAATGACATTTACATACCATTAAGGTTGCCTGAAAAAATCCGCTTAGCCTGATGCCGAAAGGTAAAACCTCCTACATAGTGCCGAAATGCCAAAATGTCAAAATGCCAAAAATGTCGAAAATGCTGCAAGCGTGCAATCCGAGTTTCCTATTTAATAGGTTATTTATAGCTCAACACACAGCCTACTTGCTGACTTACGGTTGATTCTATTGTTTGACACACAGCCTACTTGCTGACTTATGGTCAAGTTTCCTTAACTATATATATATGACACACAGCCTACTCGCTGACTTACGGTCAAAAATTAATTAAAGTATAACTTTTATCTTTTCAGATAAAAGGGTCCCTAGGTTCTATATATGTAATTATATCCCAAAGGCGTCCCCTTGAG